GGGGGGGAAGGTGTTTGACTTTAAGATCTGGTTGTATCTTTCACTGCTCCAGTCCTTATTTTGTCTAGCCCCTTTTTGGAGTATCATGGTCCTCAGTTGTGCACTGGGCCTAAACCATGACACCTTATTTTTACCAGTAATAAGATATTTGAAGAAACCCCTATGTCCGTGTAGATCAGATGCCTCGTTTTCCACCCTACTGTGCTTTCCATGAGTTCTATTTTGTGCATTAATATTTTGCTACTACCTATTGAAAGTATAAGAGTAATACCGTGTCAAGTAGGTGACAGAATTACAGAAGAGAATAAAAGAAAATTCAGGATGCTCTAACACTAAAAGAAAGTATTATTAATTACTAGAAGTAATGGGTTTTACCTCAATTAAAAAAATATATATATATTATTGTACTCCGTATGACCTTTACTGAAATGCAGTAGTTTAGATCAAATTTGGAAGCTACAGCTCTGTATTTATAGACAGGAAAGTATGAAAGTAACAGTTTATCCTTTTCAATTTATAGTCAATGATGCAAAAGACTATACTGGAGAATCAGAAGGGGTTGAACACAAGCCCAAACCCAATTATATTAGCATTGGTGAACGTGTGATGCTTTTTCATGAGGTAAGTCAATACACTATATTAATCTAAAATTGCAAATTGTACGCTTTGAAAGTCAAATGTATACTACATTCAGACTACCATAATCAAGATAGAAAAGTTTATCAAGTCAACTGACAATGGGCAATTAAAAAAAATACAAAATATTTAGCTTTTCAATTAATACAACTGTAGAAACTCTATCAACATGTGTTCTGCATAACATACATATACATGTATTTTGATATATTCTTCCATGTGAGAGATTAAAGAGATGTAAGGCACAAAAGTTACTTTTATAAAAAGTCAAGTTTTGGTCGGAGCCAAAAATGGCAGAGCTAATAGCAGCCTCTAAATACACCGATTCTCAATTATTCTTTTTAAGGACATGCACAAAAACCTGTCCCTAAACTCTTGTCTCTTTGCATTTAAACTTTGCAACCTGACTGTCCTATCTATTAAAAACAAATAAAGGCTTAACACCACCTTAACCCCCAAAGAGCCAAACCAGATTTGATAATGCACATGTTGACTTGGCTGTCTTGCCTAGTCCAGAGGCTAAAATATTACAGACACTCTAATCCTGAAATCTGCTAAAACAAAAAGGGAAGGGGGAGGAGTAAGAAATGTTGACAGAAGATGAAGGGACTGATGCATGCGTCCTCACTTATAAGCAATTCTGGACTAATCAATCATGAACAGTTAAATATTAGGATTGATCAAAGCAAACTTCTCCTTAGAGAATTTGTACCACAGACTGGTGAACTCTAGTTTGCTGAACAGTAAGTGATGACAGCCCTACAGAGCAATTGTGACAATTCCAATGGCAGCTGTCAAAATCAATGCAGTTTTAATGAATTCTAACTATATAGGTATACACACCCAAGTAAAGACTTGGAAGAAATTACCTGTTCGCATATTATTCCGTCGACAATTGTTATTCTTGGTCAGAGGCTATTCTTCTAAAAGAGCACCTAAAGACAAACATGTAAATTTAGCATGTCATTTTTAATCTTAGTAATTTTTTTTCCCTGAAGAACGTGTCTTTCAATGTTGCTAAGACACTTGTTGTACTTTGACAGTAATATACTGTCATATTCTATCTAAGTTTCATTAAGTCACAGTAAATGGCAAACATTCAAGTCTGCTGTCAAGTTCAGTGAACACCCGAGGGCAGTACTACGGAGTAAAACCAAATTCACACTGAAGAACGTTTAAACAATGAATACTTTTTTTCAAACTGCTATACTTATTCACAATTTTAATACCTGATGCTTTTAGGCAGTCTAAATTCTTGTTTCTGGCTAGCTAATTAAATTGACATTTGTACCCTGAAAGACAGCATACACAACTGAGCCAGTCCTCAGACTGATATTTAGTCAGTCAGGTAAGATCTTGGTCATAGAATTCTTGCATTTTGTGAACAACAACTTCCTAATTTGTAATTTCTCGGAGAGAATGTGTGTGTTTCACTGAGTGTTTTCGTGTCTGGAAGTCGTGTGACATTAGTTATACAGGTCATGAATTTAGCAGAACTCCTTAGCAAGGTTAAGGTGTACGCAATTATTTTAAAATTATGGAATAGAAACACTGCCTGGACAGAAACCAATCTTCATTTGACATTGCTAAAAAGCAACTTACTCTGTAGACATGCCAACTCTATAACTATCTAACATTGCCATACTCTGTTTTCTTGTAAGGTATAGTCAAGATTTACTGGACCAAATAGGTTGCTGAACAAGCCTAATATGATAGATCTTATTTTTTTAATGTTTGCTCTTTTTTCTTAATTCTACTTTAAAGTCTACAAAAAGTTAATATTTAAGAAATTGTCTTATATTGGAAGAAAAAATATTTTTTCCCCATTAAATGATCAAATGAAATAAATTATCAAGATTAACTGAAAAAAATTGCCTGTACTTCAGCTTTTAGTACTAGAAAGGCAACTTTCTGTAGAGGCCCATTTCAAAATGTATAATGCATTTGTACTTACTGTATAAGCAGACAGTTCTGTTTCTCATGGGACCTCAAATGGCTTCTTTAGCTCTTTAAGTGTCCTGTCCATACAGGAAAATCTGATATGGCAGTTCCCTGTGATACTGGGCTGTAACAGCAAGGTCCCCACCCAAAGGCTGTCCTCTTGGGCTGTCTCACAGAATCGAAACTTTGCTTACTTTGTGTACACAACTGAGTACAATTAGCATAGCCTGAGGCACAAAGAACCAAACCAACATGATTGACTTCAGGCCTAAAATCCTGTTCTTAAAAGAAATAAATCATTCTGGAGATGGTTGGGTTTAGCAGTCAAGATCTGAATTCTGTACATGCTGTTAAAAAGGCTTCAAATTTGCACATAGCACAATGTGCGTTGGGTTACAACAAAGACAAACATCATACAGAGTCCAAGTACAGAATAGGGTAACACCCCATTATGCTCACAGAATCACTCGCATAGTTTTCTAGGGTTACCAATGCTGAATTTATTGCTGAATTCAAAACATTCCCATAATGTAGTATATAAAAATTGCATCATAAAAATATAATATTTAAATTTGTATTTTATTGGAGCAAGCAGTCCTTTTTAATTTACTTTCCCTTTTCTTGAATGTCACAAAGTTGCTTTCATAACTGGAAATGTAATTGGGATATATAACATAAATTTCAGACTAGGTCCTTTTCCAGATTTAATTAGTATATGGCTCCTTGAACAGACAAAATAACTTGATTTCACTACTGCAAAAAGGAGACCTCACATCTACGTTCCTTCATCTTACTGTCAGCATGCATCTCACTATCTCTCTGGTGCTGCTACTGGTGTAAATTGAACTTTTTCAGGAGATGTTTAAATCTAATGACCCAGCAGAAAATTCCTTAGAGGAAGCTGACAGTTTACTGCATCCATGTGTTGCATGGATGTGCTACTCACCTCATCAGCTGTTTGGACTAGGAATAACTGTTACATGTACTACAGACTGTTTATAAACTGACTGCAGAGAACAAGATAGCCTGAAGAAGGCCATGGGACTACTAACTGCTTATCTTCAAACTCTGTTGTCTGTTCTGTTGTCAAGGAAACAGGGTGGTGAAGGAACAGGGTGAAAAAACTTCCTAAACAATCCAAGAGGATATATGTGTGTAGGAAAAATTCTGTCCTAAGGAAAAAAAAAAAAGTTCTAAGTAGCACAATTTGGGTCTAAAAATCACTTTCAAAAGAGATGTTGCTGGCAGCATTCAGTTGTGGCTTTTTTTTTTTTAAGACTGCAAAGTAAATCACTAGGTAGTCATGCATTTATATGTAATTTCTTTTCCTCTGGGGTGTTAGTTGCACTCCGAACAGAAGATTATGTATCAGTGAACAAAGAAGAAATTGGACACTCTATCTCATTAGAAAAGCAAGCTGATACATTGTAAAGAAAATTAAATGCTACAGCAGAAACTGTTGCTAAACTCAATTCTAACTTGCTTACATCTGGGCACTGAACAGGTACTAGAAACACAAGAGATTATTTGTGCACCTACCTAACACTTTCCAAACTCAGTGTCATCTTTTAAGACACAGCTGTAGCCTATGCTCACAGGAGCTAAGAACCCATTTCTTTGAATGCTCAAATGTTTATCTTGCTCGTGTCTTGGGAGTCTGTGAGAGATGCTAACTTGTGTATCAAGTTAGAGCATTTTCATCTCAAATTTAAAGCATAGCCTGTTTTGCTCTGTGCCATCTTGCCAAAAAAACCTCAGATCATTCTACCATTTTCCATGCATCTTTGTCATCTAAACTGGTATTAATAATAAAAAGAATACCTTGTGAGGAGGATTATAGTTTATACATTACAGTTATGTCACCTCTGTATGCTGATACATACTGATACTATTTTATCCTCTTCAGTTACTTGAAAGTCCTGTACATCTATTTTCATAGTCTGAAACCTTCAGTTTAGGAAAGGATTTAAATCACATACAGAGTTAACCATATCCTAAATCACTAAGTTAAAGTGTGTTCAAGTACTTTGGTGAATGAAGCATGAAGTCTATGTGTGTCACACTGAACGCTGTGTAGGTGATAGAAATATCGGGTTACTATTCTGTAGCAGAGAACCACAAATTAAAGTGAACCATACAAGAAAATTCACACACCCTTGTGCTTCTTGGAGACTAAAACACCAGTGGAAAGATAGAAGAGTTTTTGGGAACTGTTACAGGATTTCTGGGTGATTTTGAGGACTTGGACTGCAATGGGTTCAGCTTTTTAGGAAAAATATGTTAATATCTGGCTGTACTGGGGGCTGGCTGGAACAAGTCTTTTGAGCTCATGAGATTTGTCTTTAACTGAACCTGTCTGCTCTACCTCCCGTATACTTAAAACGGAATCTTTTATTGCCACTTATTTGTGTGTACTTTTAATGGCTAACTATTCTAAGCATCCATGAGATGCAGTATCCCCAGAAGATGATAACTGTAAGTCTTAATTAGCACAGGCAGATAAAAAGAAAGCACTGAATAATGATTTGGGAGTTTTTTACGGTTCTTTGCTATCTAAACATTCTTAAAATTAATCTCTAGATAAACTCTCCCCCAAATTTAAGAACATCATTTCAGTCACACGGCTATTTCGAATATACACTGTATGTTCATTTAGACTAGGTTGTTCCTCACAGCTGTCTTCAAGAATGGGATTTTACTGCATTATGTATTCTTTTCTTAAATCCAAAAGAGGTAAAAAGTCATTCTGCCGCAATACTGAGCTCAAATATTTGTGTCATCAAAACAGTGAAGGGATTTTTTTTTTTAATTGCAGTATCTAATTAGTAGGCTAATTAAACATAAATTTCCTTCTGAGATGTGTCCTTGATATCTATCAAGCAGTTAGGAGTCTACACCTCTTATTTTCTCCGAGAGCCAGGAAGTGTCCTGAAGTCTTCTTAAAAGGAGTCTGTTTATTTTCTTATCTAGGTGATAACTTCTAATACCCTTATTATATGAGCCACAGAAAATCATCAGGCAACAGAAAAAAAATCCACCAAACTGCCTGAAACAATGGAGATCTCAATAAGGAAGAATTCAAGGTGAGATATTACACCAAATTTGTATAAGGACAATGTGTTGCTCAAATGCAGACACTAAAAATTTCTCGTGAGATGGGATAGCCACAGTGTGAAGGAGCTCTAGCAGAAGACAGAAGCAAAGGCGGATGCCAAATAGCTCACAAGTCTCAACATGCTTGTGATGGACAGGTGAATTTTTTTAATACAGTTGTTCAGAATTCTTTCCATTACAGTTTTCTGAAATGACAACAAATGACTGAGTCTCCTGTCTTAGGAATGCCTACAGCAAAATGTTAGGTTTACGTTTTGATTTTATTTAAGTATGTCTAGGATTAATTATAGACTAAAACAGCTGGTAAAATTTAACATTATGTTGAAATCACAATCTGAGACATTACAGTAAACTTAAGGGAAAACTTTCCATTTGTAAAATTTCATAAGTAGTTTGCAACCAACTGCAAATTCCCATCTGAAACCCCAGTTCTACTGTATGAAATATTCGTGCAGAAGTTGGCGAAGTTACATTTGAGGCGTCTGTCAAATGTAACTACTGTAGCCATACTATGTATCTGTAATTTTGAGAGAGATTCCAGCTTGTGTCTGCTTATGTGGGGGGAATTAATACATTTTAGAAGACACTTACATTAAAAGAATTGCTGTCAAGCTGGGGAATAAACCAAACCCAGACACTGTTCTTTCATTCGGTGTGCTTGCCAATTTCTTCTAGGGCACTTTCACTCACAAGTTTCATCCCTAAACTCTCTAAGAAATCACCTGAAATGAAATACAATTTATAGGTTCTCCTTGCCTGCTTTATTTTTATTCACATCTCAGTGGTAGACACAATGTCCATCAGAATGTCACCACTCAAAAGTC